CAGTGCTGGGATTACAGGTGTGAGCCACCATGTCTGGCTCAAGTGTTCTTTTGTCTTTTTTTTTTTTTTTTTTGCCAGTTTTACTTCGTTCCACATGTCAAATATATCTTTTTAAAGATATTAGTAAAAAAAATAAAGAGAGTTTAATTGCTACAGTGTCTAAACTAGGTTTTTTTCATGGATTGAAGGCTATCAGAAGGACGTTTTGAATAAATGTATTTTGTTTGGAGTTTAATTTTTGGATAAAAACCCAAGTTGGAATTTAAGGTAAATGAAAATTTTGTTGCATTGAAGTGAAATATAAGGAAATAATTCATTAAGTTTATTAAATGATCATTCTTAAAAATAGAGCTGATACCCATGAGCTATACTTAGTGTGTATTAGATGATTTAGATAGCACTGCTTTGTCTTCAGTAGCAAATAATCAGAAAAATAGTGTATCATTTCAGTTTTGTCAATTTTTTCCCCCTAGGAAGATAAGAAAAATACAGTAGAAATAAGATTGACAAAAAACAGTACAGGGCTGTTTTTAGCTTTCTAGTCTTTTGGTTTTTTTTTGCGGGGCAGGGGGTGGTGTTTTGTATTTTTAGTTTTATAGAAATTAGAATGTTCTTCCTGGCCTCATTTTGAGAGGTTTTAATTTAAATAAAATTTAATTTGAGAGTTTTTTGAAGTGAAATATTACGATCTCCCAATTCAACATTATAATTTTACTGCAGGATAAATAAAGAAAACGGGAAAGGAGGAAAGCATTGATTACAAATGTCTTAACAATGAGCAAATGTGCAAGGAAAAAATATATTAAGACAAATCTAAGGTAGGTAGATGTATGTTTTTCTGTTCTTTTGAAAATTCTACTTAGCTTAAAGTTCATGATGAGTAAATGGATGTATAGATGTACACATACATATATGTATGTATATGTATTCTATTATAGACTCAAATTATTCAGCCATTCACTTAAGGTACCATCTACTGTGTACCATGCTAGGCGCTGTAGGGGATGTGTGGGTATGTCAGTTGACGTATGCCAAGTACTGGTCTTTTCAGTTAGAAAGTAGACCATTTGTGAGGATGTCGATAGTTCAGTGGAATTGTAGAATTTGAAGAGTCCCCAGGGTTTTATTTTTCCTCCTGGCCTTTTGTCTATACTTGTATTTAACCTTATGAAATAGAAGAAAGTTTCTACCAACACTTTACAAATATCCAAATAGAATTTTTCAAGTTTTCTTTTGATTACTTTCAGAGACATTCTGTTTCATCAGTTGGATATAGCCCTGAAGAGAAATTTGATTTTCCACTTTTTCTAAAGTTATTTAAAAGAATAGAAACAACTTTAATAACTTCCTTTTCCAATTGGATTCTGTTTTTAGAAGAGGTGAAAATTTTTTTCAAGGGTAATGCACTTCCTCTGTAGTGTAATTTGTCTTTGAAAATTGGATGCAACTAAAATTTTAGAATTTTTTTTTCTTTTTTTTGAGACAGAGTCTCACTCTGTTACCCAGGCTGGAGTGCAATGGCACGATCTTGGCTCACTGCAACCTCTGCCTCCCAGGTTCAAGGGATTCTCCTGCCTCAGCCACCTGAGTAGCTGGGATTACAGGGTGCCACCATATCTAGCTAATTTTTTGTATTTTGTATTAAAACAATTTTTTATTAAAAAAAAATTTTTTTTTAGGCTGGGTGCAGTGGCTCAAGCCTATAATCCCAGCACTTTGGGAGGCCAAGGTGGGAGAACTGCTTGAGGTCAGGTGTTAAAGACCAGCCTGGGAAAAAAAAAAGAAAGCAAGAAAAGAGAAGAAGACCAGCCTGGGCAACATAGCAAGATCCTATCTGTAAGGAAAAAGATGTTTTAATGGAAGGTCCTATTTTTAAAAAAACAATAGTTATATTAACATTTTATTAATTTGGATCCCAGTATATTCAAAACAGGTTGGGATAATATTTGCTTTTCTATCAAAGGAGAGAAAGGTTTGCTAAATAATATAAAGGAGATTTCAGAAGAAATGTTTAACTTCAAAAGAAAATAATGTTCCTGCTATTATTAGTTGTTCGTAAATTTAAGTATCCCCATTTTAGCTATTTTTTTGTTTGTTTGTTTGTTTGTTTGAGACATAGTTTCACTCTGTTGCCCAGGCTGGATTGCAGTGGCACAATCTTGGCTCACTGCGACCTCTGTCTCCCAGGTTCAAGAGATTCTTGTGCCTCAGCCCTTGAGTAGCTGGGATTATTGGCGCGGGCCACCACGCCCAGCTAGTTTTTGTATTATTAGTAGAGATGGAGTTTCACCATATTGACCGGGCTGGTCTCAAACTCCTGACCTCAGGTGATCCACCTGCCTCGCCTTCCCAAAGTGCTGGGATTACAGGCATGAACCTCCATGCCCAGCCACCATTTTAGCAAATTTTTACCTGTTTTTAGAATTGTGGAACCAAATATTTGCCAGTATTTTGCTTGTTGTTAATTTATAGTGCTTAGTGGACTTTTTTGTTTGTTTTAGTTTTGTTTTATCCTTACATGTTTTTATTTTTAAATATTTTGTAATTCATAATTGTGAATTGGTTCTTTTCTCTCTGAAAAGGATTATTGTTTAAAATTAAAATACTACATAGTTAATTAAACACTATTAGTTTTAGTACAGCTGTGTTTATTTAATATCACAACTATGTTTAATATAGAAAGTGAGATTTGGGGAAATATATTCTATGAGACATCTCTTCAATTTTAATATATTTAGTTATAAATTATGTAGTGAATAATGTAAGATGATAATGGACTCTATAAATTCTATCTGGAGCAGCTGTGGCTGATTTATAGATGTTAATGTTGTATGTGCAACATTGACAGCTGAGTTTGGGGTCCTGCATTTCTGCTGAGATAGTGCTTGAAAAATGCCTGGTACAGTGCTTGACCCATGTTGAGCACTGAATTGTTAGTTGAATCTTCTGCACTGAGTCCTGTGTAGGAGCTGGGTTTTAGTGGGTTTAGGGGGTTGTACTGGAGGGCAGTTGGATATAAATCTGCGGAATAAACTGGCTGGAAATAGCATATCTAGTTTAAATTGCTAGTGTTAACCTAACTTTTTTATAGATGATTTTTACCTTCAAAAAAATAATTTTAGTATCAAACTTTTACTAAATGACATGAACTGAACACCGTGCTAGGTACTCTGACAGAATACAAATGGAATAAAATTACGGTCCATACATTTGCTATGAAAGAGAAAGCATATCTGAGTGAGATTGCAACAACAATTGCAGCATACTCCAAAACACATCATCATCATAAAATGTTGTCCAAACTGGAATACGCAGGGCACTGACCATGGAAGGAACCCTGGAGTCACAGTCACAACACCTCTTTTTCATCCCTCATCATGCTACCTATTATGTTCCCTGTAAAAGTCCCTTAATCTCTCTGAATGTTATTTTTGTTATTATAATAACACCTGATAGTTGCACAGTCTTCCAGGATAATTGAATAATTGGTTTATGTAGCATATACTGTACTAGGCACTGGGAATGCATGGAAATCTATAAGATGGGATCCCTGTCCCTGAGTTGCTCATGCTGTTGTGTGAATACATGTATTATATGCTACACAAATGTTATAACAGACTTGTAAAATGCTTTGGGAACTCAAAAAAGAATATCTAATTCTGCCCATGGCTATTGGAATAGGCCTTTGAAAGATGGTGTCCTTGAACCAGACCTTGACAGACTAGTGAGAATTTGCCAGTTGGACAAAGAAGGGTAAAGGGCATTTCAGGAAGAGGGAAGATTAGATGTAAAAGATTAAAACTGGGAGAGTAAGGTATGTACTTGAAAAAATGTCTGATTAGGAGGCTGGCATGCAGTGTGTTGGAAAGAGTAGAGGGACTGGAGATGAGGCTGTAGAACTAAAATGGGTCACATTGTGAAAGAGATCGAGTGGCAGTGTGGTTTAGTAATGGAGTATATGGACTTCGGAAAAAAACCTTGGTTCGAAACCTGGCTATGCCACTTATACCTTTGTGGTAAGATCAAATTTTTAACCTCCCTGAGTCTCCTTTTCCTTATTGCTAAAAGAAGAACTAATTATTTTTTATTTTTTGAGACAGTCTCACTCTGTTGCCCAGGCTGGAAGAACTGATGATAGTGATCTTACAGAGTTGTTAATCAAAACTACCAGTCACTTACCACATGCAAACTCTCAATAAATGATGGTTATAGTTACAAGAATTAGAAGTTTGGATTTTATTCTGTAGTCAATAGGAAGCTACTAAAGAGTTTTAAGCAAAGAAATATTTTAAGTAGAAATACATGTTTTAGAAACATAACTGTTGGCATGGATTGGAGCCAGGAGATAGAGTGGTGGCCGTGGAAATGTAGAGAAGGAGACTTAATTGTTCTTTAGACGGTAGAATCATCAAACCTGATGATGGTGCTGTGTGGAATGACAGGGAGTTTCAGGGTTTCTGGCTTGAACAGTTGGTTGGATGGTGGGGTCCCATTTCCTGAGATAGGAAACTCAGAAGGGTAGAAAGTTTGTGGAGGAAGAAGAGGAGTTTAGTTCTAGACCCATTGATTTTGAGGTTCCTGCAGGCCATGTGTTTGGAGATGTTAAACAGGGATTTGGATATTGCATTTTGGAATTCAGAAGAGATGCCTGGCCTAGAGTCATGGACTTAAATCTGGCACTTGAATCCAGAGAAACAGACCCCATGAAGTAGGGAGAGATTTGAGAGTGAGGCAAGAAAGCTAAGCAGAGTCCCGAAGACATGCAACGTTGAAGGTTAACATTGAGAAAGGGAAGGAATTGTCAGAGGAGCTTGTGGAGGAATTGTCAGCGAATCAGATTGGAAGAGGAAAATGTAGTATCAGTACACTGAGACAGTGTTCAAGAAGGAAGATGTTGTCAACAGTTTGAATGCTGCTGAGGGATCAAACAAAAGACAGGACTTAAAATGTACATTGGATTTAGTGACAGAGATTAGTTACCATTTCTAGAGATGTTTTAGAGGCAGAAACCTCTGTAAACTTGGGGGGGTGTCTAGGAGTATGTGGGATGTGAAGTAACGGAGATAGTGTTGGCAATTCTTTCAAGTAGTTTAGCAGTGAGAAGGAGAAGAGAGGTTCAAGGGAATCGCTTGAGAGATTTCTGATCCAGTGGATTTGTGGCTGTGTGTGTAAGTTGTGAGATGGGACAGACGTGAATGTGTTTAAGTCTTTACAGGAAAAAACTGTTAGAGGGGGAGAGAATAATTGATAGTATAAACCCCTGAAGGGCATGGGCTCTAAACAACAGATACAGGAATTTTAAGAGTGGGGAGGAGGCAGGAGGCAAGGGAGCATAGTGAGTGTAGATGTCAATAGCTTTGTTGATTTGGTGTGGGGAGTTGATGGAGTTCTAATTAGAGACAGCAGGCAAGGGCTTTCATTGAGTGTAGTCAGTATAGAAACGCAGGGACTGAGAAGAGGGAGCACATTCGAAACAGTTGTGGAGAATGGGAGAGTAGTAAGCCAAGTAGGCAAACTCCATCAGTTTGCCGCCCATTTGAGGTTGAAAACCAAGAATTTAATAGTGCTATATTTATTTTATGTTTTTAGAGATGGGATCTTGCTCTGTCGCCCAGGCTGGAGTGCAGTGGCACGATTATGGTGTGCTGCAGTCTTGACCTCCTGAGCTCAAGCGTTCCTTCCACCTCACCCTCCTGAGTAGCTGGGACTATAGGTGCCCACCACTATGCTCAGCTAATTTTTTTGTTTTTTGTGTAGAGACGGGGTCTCACTATGTTGCCCAGTCTGATCTCTGAACTCCTAGGCTCATGTGATCCTT